CCGCGGCAATAATAATCATCTGGCGCGAGCTAAGAAGTTGCCAAACTTGAAAGCAATTAACGGACTAAATCAAAAAAACATTTCTCACAAAAAGCCAAAGCACAAAAGAAATACAAAAAAATTCAACGCAAATGGGCGTTGCCTGCTTGTGACTTTCACTTCGTGTATGTATGAGTGAGTGTGTATGAGAGTGGGTGTGTGTGTGTAGCGTATGTGTGTGTGTCGAGTGTGTCCTTGTGGCTTGCATAAACATGTCAACAGCAACTGCCTCCACCTCTGATTCATTTAGCCACTTACTTAGCTCTCAAACGGCAACAGCCGTAACCATCGACCCCGGAGTCAAGTGAAACCCATTTTTAATTAATTAAACTCCACCCTCCTCTGCTAATTGATACACACACATACATATATTGTATGAATATGGGATATGCCCAACCCTGAAAAGGATAACTTCTCACAGTATCAGATACATTTGCTCCGACCACATCAATAATAATTGATTTATTAATTATTAATGCTATAAGTACAGCATTTAGTTTCAATACAGGTAATTCAAACTTTACGATGAGTGGGGCTCATAATTGAGAATAATTGCGGATGCATTTTATGGGAAATCGAAGCTGCATAAAGTATTTTAGTTGCATTTACATATCAATTTCTTTGGAAAACTATGGCAGTTCAAGTTTCAGTAAGTTTTCAGCATGAATTTAAGAAGAACTTAATTTAATAATTAGATATGCAGTCCTTGGAAAATGATTTGAAATGCAAGATGTTAGGAACAGTTTCAAAGTATATGAGTAAATATTGCGAATTCTAGAAATGCGGCTCGCACTCTTACACCATTACTTCGTACAGCGCAAGCCAGATGTACTTTCCAAGTATCTTGAGCTTTAAGAGCTTTTTGAAGTTTCCGTATTGATAAAAAAAAAGTTGACGATCTCTTGCATCAAATCACATTCGCATCAGATACGCTTTATCTGCGCGTGGCTGGCATTTCTTATTTGATCATTTAATTATTTCCTAATTAAAATTGATAAAGGCCATGGTCTTCATGGGCGAAAATAAATATTTGCATATGCCAGCCAGCCAGGCCAACAAAAGCCGAGAAATTTAAGACAAAAGGCGTTTCCAGCCAAAAAGGTCGAAACGATAAGCGGACAGGCATCGACAGCCAGGCGAGGCAATTTCAATGCCCAGCTCCCCTTGTTCCTGCCGAGCTGCTCTGATCCTTGCAAGTGGCACGGCAGACGTTGCAGGCCAACAAGCGCAACGGTGTGCTTTGAATAATTAAACTAAAGCATTTCGCTTTCAATTAAAACGTGGACGTCAAGCGTCGACACACACACACAAACACAAACACACACACACACGCACGAGCTGGGTCTGTAAGGTGCTTGAGCAATGGCCAAGGACACGTCAGAGAGTGTCCTTGCAGAAGTTGGAGTTTGTATGCTTGCGTGCGTCTGTGTCTGTATTTGCATGCTGAAAATGGCCTGCAGCCCGGGGCTGGGTTTGATTTTAATTTTTTTGCTTTGGCTTGTTTTATTATTGTTTTTGTTGATTCGAGCGTCAATTGTTTGGAGATTGGGGATTGCGCTCCGGTACCTTTTTAACGATTTAATTTGCCAATTTTGCTTTTGGCTTGCCGTCCTTGCACATAATTAATTGGTTTTAACGAATAAGTTGATGTAATAGAAATAATTTAATGAAATTCAAAACATGATGCGCAAACATTGCCATGTTTTCGCTGCTTTTTTATTTATTTCTTTTTGACTTTTTATTTGCATTTTTTGCTGATCCGAAGGCAATTCAATATCTAAACTGCGGCTCAAAGCGGCCCTGGCATCAGCTTTAAGGCAAATTGGCATTTGTAAATTATATTCGCATTGTAGGCCCAGTTTCAGTTGCGTCAGGATTCTGTGTCAGCTGCTTGTCGGCCTTCTCAAGTCAAATAAAAAGCGGCTTAAATGCCTACTGCTTCTGCTCACATTGTTGTGGGCTGTTGCCAACAGCCTCCCCTACTTATCCCAGCTTTCACAAGTTTGTAATATGTATTTTAACTCTTGGAGATGGTGTGTTCGGCAACGGCAACGGCAACGGCTGCGGACACCATATGCAAAACAAATAAGCAACATGGCCCGCGGCTCATGGCGGCTTAGGCGCCATTTTGACTGTCAGAGGGATTCACAAGACGCATACACAAGTGGGAGAGTCTTTTTTTTTTTTTTTTCGGGGGGCTCTACAGTGATGAAAGCCATGAAAAGCGCCGGGCAAAGCAGATAGCTGATAAAGAGCCCCTATTATCGGTTTTGCTAGCTGCTGGTCAATGTTAATTAAACGTCAGCGTCTTTTCAAGCAAACAGCAACAGCAAAAGTTGCGGCTGCTTTGTGTAATTACACTCTTCACAGACACGAAAGCTGGTCATTAAAAATACTGGCTGCTTCAGTGCAGCATAGTGTACCATATGCTGTGCCCACAACAAGAGAGAGAGAGAGAGAGAGAGAGAGGCAAAGGCATTCTTCACCCTGCACTCACAGTGTTACTTTCTCATGAGTGCACTGACAGGAACAACAACAGCTTTGACACTTCGGCTGTCCGTCTGTCTGTCTGTCTGTCTAAATACCTGGTTGGTAGACGCACCTGCAGCTTACTGCTTGTTTTGCCCTTTCAACACTTAAGTGAGGAGAAGTGTCTTTAACACACATTTCACAAATTCTAGCAAGGGTTGGCAGAAGAGGCGAATCGGCTGTGGTGCGTAATTGCACAGCTGCAGTTACTTAGGTCTTGCCACAATTTGAGCATATGCAAGCGAAGAGTTCAAGTGGTCTGGCAGAGAACACTAGTTAAGAGAGACAAATAGAGACAGAGAAAGCTAGAGAGAGAGAGAGAGAGAGAGAGAGAGAGAGAGAGGGAGAGAAAGAGTCACTATCATGCTGCTGTTCAGTTATTTGTGTACAGCTAATTAAACATTTCCAGCCACACACCGAGTGCTGTGCTCTAGTCAGCTCATATGTCGTCGCAGCGATTGCGCGGACCCACATCCATTATATACTTATCACAGTAGCTGTTCTCAATGGCCGTAAATTATGTGTGAGAGCCAAAAAGCAGACCCAATATTGTTGCATAGTCAGCATTTGCCTCAGCAACATCATCATCGGCATCGTCATTAGCCGGGCTCAAGTTTTTTTGTGTTTAGCCTGCGAGCGACTTTTCAGCCATGACGGTGGGCTGGTCGAATGACAAAATGCCGCTGACATTTACAAATGAACCTTGCAACAGATCGACTAATTAATGAGCCACGCCCCTAGCTAGCGAGCGTGTCAAAATCATACAAGAATTGGGCGACTCTGTTCAGTCGATTGGAAAATAAGGTCTGCGAAAACTCGAGGGACAAAGCAGCTCCCAAACTTTTTACATATGTTTATTAAAACTTTGGACGCTCTTTGGCCCCAGTGGATGTGTTTTCCTAGCCCCGCTTTCCAGGTGTTTGACTTACTGGCAGATATATGTGGCTATCTAAATAAATCGGCCACAGCTGCTTCTGAGGCCCCAAAAGAATTTGCTGTCGAAAAATAATGTTTAATAATTTAATTCATTCAACCCATATTTCTGTCAAGTGAAATAACGGTTTTAATATGTTTTGGGATTTCAAATACTCTGTTAAGCTAATCTGCCTGTCAAAATTTAGCAAGCAGTTCATCCATCAAATTCTTCACTTTATGGAAATAATTTGTTGTCATCTTGTGTTGTATTATTCATGGGACAGCATGAAACGAATTTGGTTAAACAAATAAGTTGGCATGTAATTGTTGGCTCTCGTCGACTAGGAAATACCCTGCGTATAATTAAATGTAGTGATCAAAATTCGGAAAAACACACTGGAAATTTGTACAAAATTGTTTGCGCTTTAAAGTCTAAGTTTTTGAAAAGTATTTGGAAGAGATTCAAGGCGAATGAAATTAAATTATAATTGGAATGTTAATTTTAGAGGGCAGCTGATAGTCGATTTCCTGATTATGTCCCAATCAAAATTACCAATTGATTATCCGTCCATGTTCATATCGATTTTTACATAATATAGTAGAGCTCATTTCGCAGTTAGTTCCAATTCTTAAATGGCGCCAGCTGGCTTGCTTTATATAAGTATAACCTCTTGGCTGCTTTCAAGCAAACAAATTTATATTCATAATATCAGAATTTTAGCCTTGACCATTTGACAATTTAATGGCGAGTTTTGTACACAAACTGAATGAAGAAATCAAGGCGAGACAAAAATTGGTGGCCACAGGAACCGCTGGGGGGTGCGACATCCTGTGGTTTTTGTTGTTGCCCCGAGGCAAATGTTATGTTAAAGCGACATTTTAATTAATACCGTCCAAGAGGTCGGGGCTACAAGGAGACAGGGCCCGGGGCAGGGATTCGCACTGGCAGGCGGTTAGTTTGGCGACGGGCGGCCCAGGCGTAAGGCACTTAAGGCACAGTCTTGAACGCAATATTCTCGTTTACTTTTACAAGCAAATACACGCACACAAACACACAGAGAGAGAGTGAGAGAGAGGGGGGAATTTTGCAACAGCTAGAGAGCTGAGACCGCACAATAGCCGTAGCCGGCAGCAAGGAGCGCTTCGAGCACTTGAGCACAGCTTGAAGCAGCATAATGCGCTGCGCCTATAAGTGCACTTGTGTTTGTGCCCATGGGCTGGCCCGGCCGGGCCCTGCAGCTGGGGGAGCGATTCGTGGTATTCGAGTCAGTGGGACAGTTCGGGGCAGCGCTATAAAAATATAAATGACAGGCCGCGCAAAATAAGTGGAAGCCCGGCAAACAATAACAAGTCTTGTGCCAACCACCCAGCCAGCCACCCACTAAATCTGTGAACTGCGCCACTTTTGGCGTGCTTAAACCTCTATTATATTCCATGGATTTTTAATGCAATTTCCGCTTGAAATGTGGCCCGCTCGTAAATTCAACTGCTTTCTCGTTTTATTTGTTTAACTGCAGAATCTTCAAGACGACGGCACATTCGGTGCAGGAGGATGTCAACCTGCTGCACGCCTCGGTCCTGTCCATGGTGGAGTTTGACGATGATATATTCGCGGCGGGCAATTGCTTTGATTGGAACGAGCATCCAGCGCAGCCGGGACTATTCTGCCCGTTTGCGTATCGACTGCCGCCACCGAATCTGGGCGCCATATTTGCCAAAGATCTGGCCATGGAGTATCATTATCTGGGCAACACATCCGAATGGTTCTTTCTCGCACGCAAGAACGCCGAGAAGGTGATAGCACGCAACGAGCAATACCTGAAATGTAAGTAGCTTCTGATTTATGCACCCTCTGCGGACTGGCGCAGGGGGGGAGCCCGGTTGTTTGCCATTGCCAGCTTATTTATGCGCCGATAGCTCTTTGTGTATGGCATTGAATATTTATATTTGCTGCGTGCTTTAATCTGTGACTTCATTAGTCACTGTCCAGACGACATCAGGGACATTTAGCCAAGACGCCAAGGGAGCCACCAGGCCATAAAAGAGAGCTACTGCGACTGTTACTGCTGCTGCTGCTGCTGCTGCTTCTGCCTAATTGCGATGCCGTCGCTACCCAGTTAGAGTCGCATATTTTACTGTCGCTTTATCATTGCCAGTTGGGCAAATTTCTATCATAGCCCAACAATTAAGCAAATAAATAAGAAGAAAATGCCCGCATAGACTCGAAATACTATGTGCATATCTAGTATAGGGGAAGGCCACTTAAAATGTAAATGAATGGGCCCAAAAGTCTCGTACCCGTCACGCCTTTCTAATTAGTTGTGATTCTTGAATGTGCACCTGGGACCGAGCTGAGCCATCCGAGCCGAAAATTGTCCAATTTACGCATGTACATATGTGTCGCACTTCCTTTTATTTTTCAACTGCATACCATTTAAGCAGAATTTAATACCAGCAACGACTCGATCTTTTGAAGTCGAGTCACGTTTGGCCACTTACTGAAAGTTAAAAACGGATTTCAATCAGTTGCTTTTAATGCAACAATTTTCTCGCATTACACTCAATTATGAGCGCCTGTTGCGTCCGTCGCCTCAATCAGTCAATCAGGCAGTCGGTCAGTTAATCCTTTTGTTTGTTTTACACTATACACACGCGCACAAACACAGACACACGCACACGCACACAGCTGTTAATGCATGTCGATGAGGCTTGCAAATTAAAGGTTACGTATACGCCACGTGTCGTGTTTGCCATGCGGGCTGCTCATGTTGGGCATATGCAAATTATTTGCCTGCTTGACTGCAGGCAAGCAAATAAACATATGTATATAGTGTAAAACGGGTGCTATTTGTGCACGCGAGCCCGACTATTACTTAACGATGGCAGCAGACAGACATTTTCCAGCTGCCCCAAAACAATTTCCATATGATCTACGCTCGATGGTGCACAAGCACACAAATGCCGAAATGACAAAAGGAATTGAAAGTAAACAAACACACGCTGCCGCTAAGGCTCCGCTGCATGCTAATGCCGTTTTTTTTTTTTGGAGCCTCCACAGATTGCAGCCTGCTTCCGGCAGGCAAACAAAAGCTGTGGCAGGCAACTATTTGCCACAGATAAAAATTCATTTGTTCCCTCCATTTGTTGGCTCGTCTGTTTGGCTACCGCTGCTCCGTGGGGGGTAATTGAAACCGAAAGCAAAATAACTCGCTGAAATATTATTTGTTGCCCAAATATTCAGCGCAAAGCCGTGCTGCATGTCGTCTACCCCTGTCGGCCTTGCTTGCCACAAAAATGTACTTTTTGCAACGGACGTTTCAGGAAATATTAAATATCACCTTGAATGGGTTGGATTCAAGCCCATATATCTTGTACTGTTTATCCTGTAAGGTATTTCATTTCAAAAGACAAAGCAAATACTGTCGCACTTTCCAATAGTGAAAAAGCGTGGTCTCATTTTTTATGTAGCCATATGCTTTTATTTATATAATCCCTATAAAAAGTCAGCGCTCAGCATAACAGTTTTTTACTTAAATACTGAAAGTATAACTGAAATAAACACAAATACAAAAGAGAATGAAAACGTGGAAAACGGAAGATGAAATACCCTTATGTACAGAAGCTAAAGATCCCGTAGATAAATAGTGAGGTGAATTGTGAATATCTCGAACACAGATATATGTTTAAAAAAAACCTTTGTGAACCGATTGTTCTCTGCAATGATACAGTGGTCGGATGTCAGATATGCCAAGTTAGCTTAAGACATCTAAAATAACAACAGAAAAACCGACAGCATGTTGATAGCTTTATCGATATATGTTAATCTATATCGAATCGGCTGCTGATACTCATCAAGCATATATATAGATATAGTTTATGGGTTTAAAGACAACATCTCCATTACACATTTCGTGACAGAACTATGATAAAGTATAAAAAGAAAACCAAATCATTTTTCATCCATTGATAGGGTGCTTGTGTTTGTGCATGCATGTGTATGTGCTTGTGTGCATGTGTGTGTGTCTGTGTTGACCACCATTTTGACAGCGGGTCATATATCTATGGCAACCGGCGAACTCGGTTCGTCGTCGTGGCTAGAATAAAACTTATTTGATAGATGCCTCACGGTATAGCCACAGCTCTGAACTATGATTTACGGTCAGACGCAACTATATATGTGTGTTTGTATATGTGTGCATGTGTGTCTGTGTGTCTATGTGGATAACAGGCATTTCGCAACAACTCAACCTCCAGAGCTCGCTAAATTGCGCCTTAAGGCCAGCATCGCTGCTGGAATATCTGCATAGTGCCGCTGACTTTCAATTTATATGCATTTACATATTTGAACTTGCCCCAGCCGCAGCCTAAGACTCTGCCACGGTCTCGTTCGCCTTGGTCCCCGGGCGTGCTCGTGGCCGCATTCAAGTTTGTCGGCAAAAGTTTGGCCTGGCGCAAAAGTGGCGCTGCGGCTGCACCATAAAATGCAAGCGGCAAGAAAGTTTATTAAATTTTCAGGGATTTTCTCACGCCAGCTGATAAATACATATATATATATATATATATATACATTTTTTGCAGGCACAACAAATTGCCGGCCAATTCAAGCGCAATTAATTTAATTATATTTTTGCGGTGTACACGATTGTTATACGAATCGTATTTTTTAAATAATTATCGAACGGAAAATTATGTCGCGCTTTCCACGCATACAAAATATAATGTGGCAACGTTTCCTTGATTTCATTTTTGCCATTACATAATTTATTTTATTTTTCGGCATGCTGGACAGCAATCAGCGCTAAATTGCGTAATTATTGCCAGAGTTGACTTAATGGCTTTATCAAAAGCAAATAAGAGACGCGTATCAATTAATTGTAATTATCAAAAAATCAAAATCAATTCCAAGCCAATGCACTCAATGTGCCATAATTATGGCGCCATAATCAACATTTTGTAACCAGCAAATGGCCAACTGCAAAACATTTTTTGAATTTGAATACAGCTATTACAGTGCGCGTCACTTGAATAGAGCCAGCACAGTACAAAATTAAAATATAATATATTAATGGAGCAACGAATAAATTCGAAACATCAGTTTTGTTGTTCTCTTTGTTTACTTTTCATAATGTTGCTCACGATGCGGTTGTTAATGCTGTTTAAAGCCTACAAAATAATTAATACGCATAAATTAAGCCATTTACATTTGTTATTCCGTATGAATTGATGGCGTAAAAAATCATAAAGATTATGACTAATTTATTTAAAGAGCACTTTAATGCTTGAGAAGATAAAATAGCATTGCAAACATTTGACAGACATACGACGTCACATGTCTTATGTTACATATACAGTTTTTTCTGATACGGACTGCAAATGCATTTTTAAAGCAGCTGCATTTATTTGATGCACGCGGGTGTGTATGTGTGTGAAAAACCACAAAAATATTTCATAATATTTGTATTTTGCTCGAACGCCGAATTGGCCATTGTTGTTGCTGCTGCCGTCAACGTGGCTGGTTCAGTTGTTACGCTACATATTTAAATGCATATGTATACACTTAAAAAAAGAATAGTTCTCAAATTTTAGAAAATTTGCCAACAAATGTAAACAGTCTGAATTTCAGAAAACAAATTTTTATAAATGTATTTTACATTAAGAAAACATGAACTTGAAAAATATCCTTTAGAAAAGGTTTTCTGCTTTTTTGTAGGATATATTTTCTATATTTTAAAAATCTTTTTTTTTGATTTATAAAATACGTTTTACTTTGCAGGCATTTGTTATGTAAATCGCTTTAGACATTCTAAAAAAAATATGGCGACTTGCTTAAGATCCTATTTTAAAGACGATTTCTGGCTGTTTGTTTTCTGAGTGGATAAACATACCATGCATATATATGTATATGTATATATAGATATGATATTTTTCGTGTCTACCCGTCACGTGTTTAACATAAAATTTAAATAAAAATCACATACAATATGTAAACAGTAATACGTATGTGCGTATTTCCTGCGAATGCTTCGTTCTCAAAAAGGAGACATCACTCCAACGGGCGCCTTTACTGTCTGCTCTTTTTATGTGCACTGATTATTTTCATGACATTGGTGGAGTACTCGTTGCTCGTGCTTGTTTTTCTTCTGCTTCTTGTAATTTCCGTCTGTTAACACAATTTGCAAATTTTTGCCGGCCCCCGCTGGGATTTGAGTTCCGTTCGCTTGCGGCTTTTCATTTCCATTACCATTTTGGGTCTCGCAATTGCAAAGCACAACTAAATCAGCCAAATCTTACGAGATAAACTATAACATATACAAATTCTATGCAAATGCCAGCCACAAAACAATGCCCACCCAAGAGGGTATGCGTATGTGTGTTACATTTTTTACTGAGGGGTCTGTGTTAGAGGCAATTGCAGACGAGCACTTGGCACGCGCCAGACTCGTTTAAGGGTGCAATAAATAAAGATGATAATTTACGTTAAAATAGAAAATGGGATAAGCCCTAATGCACAGTGGAACCTTTTTACTGAAACTGTTCGGCGAGATTCATTTGCCGCACTATGGTTATAATGCTGAATGCAAATTTGGCCACCTGCAAAAATGAGATTCGCAGGACCTTTGTAGTTTATTGCGAAATTTCTAATATCTCAGAAGTACTCACACTTATGTTGCTGTTCATTGAGATGGGAAAGATGCCGCCGGCTATAAAAATGATTGGCTGTTGTACGTGGTGCATGAAGTTAATCATGGTTGTTTTATAGCGCGGCTCTGAATCGATCCAATTGGATTGGAAAATCGTGTTGGCCAAGTCCTCGCTGTCGTCAATAAGTAAATTGCAGGTATAGCAGAAGGGAAACGTTTCTAGCAGAATCGTAATAACAAACAAAACGGAGCCGAAACCTTGCCAGAAGTTTGAGAAGAAGAATATGTTCATCAGGGTCAATCCCAATACCATGCCTATGAGCAGAAACTGCACAAATATCGTGCCATATATAATTGGACGTAGCTGATTGCAGCATCTAGCAGAGCAGATTTAGTTTGTCACATTGCTCAAGCACGAATCCTTCACAATTGACAGTCTCACCTGAGAACCAGTTTGTGGTCCATTATGCAATCGATTAGGTCCTCATAGTTCTCCCTCTCGGTCCGGGTTGGATTCCTACGCAAATTGCGTATGTGATCCTTAAGCACTTCCAAATGGGCGCGAAAGATGAGCGTAAACATCAGCGGATACGTGTCGGACAGTTGAGCTTGCAGCACGGCAAAGGACATGGTAAAATACTCAAGGATCGAGTGCATCCATAAGCTGAACGGGCCATCTCGCCAGTCCAAAAATGGAATATAGATGGCCCAGGGTGAAGTACCGCTCAGCACCATCGACAGGAATGTGGAGCCCGCAAAGCCGCAATAGATGAAAGTATAAATCAGAAAGGCATAATTGCAGCGCGCTACCACAGCGTGTATCTTCTTGCGATCATCATCGTTCAGCAAACGCTCATCCAGTCTGTCCAGCAAGATTTTTGTTTGGCTCAGACGCCGTAGGTAGCTGCACGTGACAAGCGACTTGGCCGAGGCACCGTACACATTAATGGCCAACTGCAATGAGGTGAAAAACTCACCGGGCTCAAAATTGCTGAACTCCCGCACATAGCTGATGACGAACGCGACAGGCAGATAGAACACTCCAAAGAAGTAGGTCACAAATGTCCAGACGAGATACACATACCGACCCTTGCCCGCCTTTGGTGGCAACCAGCCAATTATCCACATGCCCCTGTACATGTAGATGCAGCCATCCCGAGAGGCGACCCGCTCCGTCAGCGGAGCTGGTTTTATTAATTTGAATGTCGGGGCCATAGCAATTGCCAAAGACTTTTGTGTTGCGGCTAATCCCAGCACGCGGCTTTTATACAAGTATCAGGTGAAACAAGTTGGGCAGCTGCTCGATTCTCGCGACTGGCCGTTTGCTTGGCTCATATTAACAATTAATTGAACGTAAATGTTTCAATTGTAAATATTATTATTTCTCTGAAGCAAGTTTGGGTCAATATAATAAATAAGGAATGCTATTGATAATATTAAATCAACACCAGCATTCGCCAATTCACACTGCAAATTAATTATTACAAATTTAAAGCTGCACTTTCCAGCTTTCGTCTATAGATAATAAATGGGGCAAGTTCCAAGAATGGCCATCGGTTGGCAGTGTCTAGTTGATCAACAGGCAACTTGACTTGTCGCTTGGCATACAATTATGTTTTCTCAGAATTTTCAACTATGACAACCAGAATACTTTATACCGCTTACAGCAAAAGCCTTTCAACAGTAAATATTGTTGTGATTTTGTGGATTTTCGCTTCGACATTGCCAATTGAATGGGCTTCTAGGAAAACTGAAAACTAGCAAAAATTTACTTGGCGAAAATAAAATAAAGCTGACGCCATCAAAGAAATCGCTATTTACAATATGAATTCTTCAGGTATGCTATTAAGCTGGAAAAATGTGAATATATAGAATTCTATTAAAGATTCAAATTTTACGAATTTTAAGGAAAAATACGTTAGACAAATTGACAGCGGATTTATCAAGTCAAATTTAATAAAAAAAATAGGATTCTGTAGATAAACGAAAAAGTTACAGCTCATAAGCAATAAATTTCTTACCTCAAATTGTATTGTTTCTTTTGATGACAAGCACTAAACAATTGAATGATAAATAATTACAATATTCACTAAGTAGTTATTGGCAGATAGCTAAAATACATTTTGTAATCTGGGTGTGAAAAAATATTTATATTTTTTGCATGCCCTTCTATTTACGAGAAGCTGCAATTGTATATAAGAAGCTTTATTCCTTTATTCTACAATTTGTGCAACAAAATGTCAAATCTATTTTTAATGTAACTATTGTCATGTTTGGCTCAGCTCAGTAGCCCAGTCAGGGACTCTCAGCTTGGACTGCACTTATAAAGTCATTAGCTTATTCAGCAGGACAATGCGCTTATCGTTTGGACAGAAATGTTGCCGATGCCCTTGCATAATCGCATTACCCTAAGCCCGTGTCTAGTTGATGCATACTTGATCAGAATTTGGCATGTTTATCGATTATTTCAGTGAAAAAATTCTGTTATAAGTTTCCTTTTTGCTTTTCTTGTGCCTTGCAGCCTTCCACCTGTACTCGAACCGAACCGAGGAACGCGTCGAGGACGATACGCTGGCCGTCAAGTACGAGGATGGCCGATGGTCAAAGCCATATTACGACTGCGGCGGTGGCAACATTTGGATGCTAACGTACACGGTGCCATTCTTTGGCTATGAGAATGGCAGCTATCACTTCAAGTAAGTAGCAGCAGAAAAGTCTGAAACAATTGCTATACACAAATCGGAAAGCAGATCTCAAGGGAAATGCTAACCAAAGTGGGCTGAGTGTGGGTGAATGTGGGTGAATGTGTGTGGGTGTTGCCCAGTCTATAAATAATTCGCACAATAATCATTCAGAAATAAGAAATAATAGCTAACTACAGCAGGACGATGATTAAATACCCTTCAATATTTTAATACAAATGTTCTATTTCCCCAGCGATTGTTCTTATAAGAGCCACATAATAAAGTATCTAATTTCTAATAAAGACATGATAGAAAAATAGTGCATCTTCTAGGGCTGAAGATATCTTGAAACAAAAATAATTTTGCTTTACAATAACCAAATCTTTCCTATAGAAGATAAAACAGGCATCATATGATAAAGAAGTCGGACTCTGATAAGGCTCATCTATTAGCAGCACAGCTAAACTTATATATGCTGACATTTATCATTAAATATGTAGTAATATTGTGGTCCGCTCAAGCCGACATAAGAACTTCCAGCAAAAGAAGAATCGCCCTATTCAAAGCTTCACAAGAAATTGAGAAAAAGATTGAAAGAGGCAGCTGGACATGGTTCTAAGCATGAGTACTTATCAAGAATATATATATATACATATATTATTTTTTGGAATAAAATACGTCTCCCGTCTCGTTACACATTTCACCACAATATTATAAATACCTCAAGATGCGTATAAAAATTAAATGGTCTAAAAGTTGCCATTGCTCAGTTCTTCAAGACTTTGTTTTCGCTATTATTGTTTTGGCAGGCAGCATTTTTCCGCTGTCAGCTACAGTTGCAGCCACGAATAACAAAATATGAAATTTAATGTCCATTCCTTGCCAGAGCAGCTGAGCAGTTGAGCAGCTAAGCGGTCTCATTGTAGCTGAGAAGTGACCTGGTAGCAATAACAATGACTGCCACAGATCTTGCTTCCTATGCTGAACGTGCAGCATCCGGAGTGGCAGGCACTTTGGCGGACAGTTGAAAAAATTTCAATCACGCACCGGCAAACGGAATACGTTAACATGGACACTATACATACTTATGAAACTTTATGACGTGCTGCCCACACCAACATTCTACTTTTAACAAAATTTTGTCATTTTTTTGCTCGCTTTATATTCTTTTTGAACATAGTTCTCTTTGGGAAAACTTTCTCAATTGAATGTTATAGCAAAAGTTGGCAAACTGTGGGAAAAGTCACAATTGGGTAGGAGTCAAGGAAGTTACACAATTTAATGAAAATTTCATTGATGTTTGTCGGAGACGGTTGGCCAAATCAATAAATTTGAAACATTTGGCTTTTTTTAAGGGGCCACTTTGGGAATGAAGAGTGCACTTTGAGCATATTTAATTAATTCACTTGGCTGACAGGCGACTGCGACGTGATGTGAGCAGACAATACAAAAAGCTGCCTCCTTTCGGCGTCCTTTCATTAAATTTGTTAAATCAGCTGTAAGTGTGAGTTGCTTTATTAGAAATATTTGCGAGCCAAAAATCCCTTAAAGGAACTAAGCACACGGCTTTTACCATAAACAAGGCCATTGGACGAGCAAAACACCACAACAATATCAACTAAAACAACTGAAACTACAAATAAAAATGTGTACAAGTGCTCTGGACAGTAATGATCGACTAGGCGATACCCTGCACCGATTAGACATCCCCTAATATATATTCTGTCTGAATCTATGTTTTTTCCCAGATACGTGCTAAAAATCTTATCCAAAAAGCGATTTTAATAGATTTCCTTCCTTCATTTGCTTGTTACAAACATGCGCACCAAACCAATACTCTTTGCTGCCCATTTGCAAGTTATACAGGGTATAGCAACAACTTGTGCACAGTTTACAGCCTGGTTGACTGAAATCGTATAGCCCCACAGAACAGTTAGTTACAACATCAAACTGAGTGCCTCAATGTTGCATCCCCATCAACATAATGACAGCTGAAAGCTATTCTCTTGTTTATGGCTAAATTGCGAACATGCCGGGCGTAGGCGGTAAGGGATTTGGGTGAAGTGAAGCGAAGTATGGCGAGGTTGGGCAGAACTCTGCCTCTGCACAATTAGCCAGTCGTCGTCGTGTACGCACTTCCACATCGTTTCATGCATAATTTGTAATTATTGCTTGGCAACGGACAACAACAAGTTCCAACGGACAATCTGTTTTTTAGTCTGCGTCCTGTGGTTCTAATATTACAAGCATTTTGTTTTTGTTTTCGAGTAACGAATTTAGATGTTATCAGCATATTATTAGGAATCTTATACAAAAGTAAAGAGGTTAAACAAGAAATTTGTTCAAATAGCTTTACACTTAATTGAATATTTTTTCAAGTGCTTTATAAATATGTGAAGCAACCTTTCTATGTATCAGTTATCGGTCTGCATTGCAGATTGATTTATTATTAAGCATGTAAGCAAACATGTACTTACCCAAAAATGCACATACGCATTTATAAGTAAGAGGAAGGCCTTTTTTATGCACTAATTACTGAAAGCAAGAGAAATAGCTGGTTAGAATCAGAGTATGGGAAAGTCAGACAAATACAATGAGGATGAAACAATATTGAAAAAATAAAAATTATATTGAGAGTATGATTAGATATTAAGTTAATTATATATTAGTTTATTAGATACATCTTGTTAACATAAAACTTATAATAAAGCATTGAAACCTGTATCCCTTTCTGCAATTCATGAGAATCGCATAGTAGGGCAATATCTAAAACTACAGTTTTTTGTTAGACAGCGAAGCGAAAGGTATAAAAGTACGTTCATATATAAATTTCCACAAATACAGATATATGAACATTATTACGGACTTTTATTGTACCAATTTCTTTCGCATGCGTATTATGATGGTGAATAGTGAGTAGGCGAATTTGAGTGTTGAAAAAAACGTGTCCATATGAATGCGTAGCATGCCACCAGCCACTGCTGTGCTCCCTTTCAATGAGCGCTCCACAAACAGCATCAGTTTCTTCTTAAAACTCCGATGCTGCGATATCCAATTACAGCTGAATGCCGAATAGTGCAGCTTTCCAAACCAGAGCTCATTGTCTGTACCATAGTAGCAGATGGGAAAGATTTGTAGCGGAATAGCCAAAGCATAAAACAAGAAATATATTACACTCATGGGCTCTGTAACAAAAAAGAGCAGCCCCGCTACGCTGGTACATATATTCAGCCCAGTCACCGCGAACTGAATCAGCATGGGCAGCGACATGAAGGACTCAATGGTGCGAAACAGTCTGCAAACGAACAAAGGAAATTAAATACTGCAGAGGATGTTTTCGAGATGTTACCTGCTCCAGCAAACGCTTGTGATCGGTTATGCATGCCTCCAGCTGATCCTCAGCGTCCTCGGCATCGTCCACTCCCACCTGCTCTAAGCGCACGTAGAGCATCTTTATATGAGCTGAGATCAGGCACAACATTACGGCTGGAAAACAGTCGTTCGCATAGTTCTGCAGAATTTGAAAGCCAATTCCCATAATCTGATATACGTGGGCAATGTAGAAGTTGCGCGTCGAGTTGACGTAATCAAAGGGAAACCAGCCCGGATACATGAGAGAAGGCTCTTTCTTAAAAATGAATGAAAATTCGGCAAAAATTCCAATTGGCAGATAGATGCCAATAACGACATAGAGAATGTTTCTCAGCTGTGTTCTTAACTGGCTGTAGATGGCTTTCTCTGCCGCACTCTTGATTCGCAAGTCCAGTTGCTTTAGCAGTTGCTCCATTTGCTCGACCTTTTCAAAGTTATAGGCGTATAAGGCGGTCTTTAGCGAACAGGCCAAGCAGGTGGCGAACGTCGTGAGGTTCAAGATATCATCCGAAAAGTTTTTGTTTCTAAAAAGCATTATGCCCAAATGCATGGGATACCAAACGGTTACTATAAGATTTGACAGGAGACTATAGACGATGTAGAGCTGTGTCCATTTCACCTTTTTGTAGGTAACTCCAATTATTTTCCAGGCAGTCCAGTGACTCCTGAAGAAACTTAAGCTGTTGATGAGCATGACGTTGTCCTTCTTCGACGTTCTGCTGTTGATTGAGCCATTTGCTGGTGTCTCGATTTCATATTTATTCTATAATTGTCTTTCAAATTGCTTGTATGATTAAATACTCGTAATTATAGTCATGCCAGCGCGTGTCCACACTAATTACGATAATTAAAATAATAGTAGAAAATGCATTTCCTTTGAGCTATCATTAATTATTTAAATTCTATAAAACCGTTGACATATCTGGCAGTTGATTTCCCGATTTATTTTGAAAATCACCTTTTTCTTACATGAAATTAAAATCGGATAAGGACGAAAATTCATTTATACGCAGATCTTTAAAAAAGAACCTAAAGCAGTTCGGTTGACAAACTAGAAAGCTTCAAAAACCGTTTTAGCGCGATTATAAAAGTTAACATTGTCTTGGGCTTAACGTTGTGAGTAACTTTGCCAACTAGCTTTGTACTTATTTATTTAATATAAATATATCTTTGCTCTCAGTCATGTACTTTTCATAGCCCTCGGTTGTGGATTCCCCTGGCTGTGGAGGCTTGTAGCAGTAGCAGGGATAAACCTTACGCAGCTCCTCCGGTTCCGGCGTAGCACCAGGCTGCGGTGTAGTGGTAAATCTTATGCGCTGCTTCCCTGTAAGCAAACCAATCGGCCATCAATTATCAACAGATGAGGCCTTGTGCGCACATACAGCTCGACTGGTAGTACTGTCTTTGCTGCCAAGTGAGTGGAGCACTTTTTACTGTGCCCGCTCTTGGTGGGGGACCTATGGTCGCCACCAGCAGAGCGAGAAGCGGCAGCAGCAGCAGCTGACTTGTCAACGAGTCGAACAACATTTTGCAGCAATACTGACAAATGAAATTTAACGCTTGTGCAACTTTTGCTAATGGATTCCGTAATTATAACAGTTTCAGTCACTTCACGGCCAAGGCGTGCCAAATTTCATTAA